AATGATCTTTTCCTCCTTTCTACTTCAGTCACCCACTCCCATAGTTGCACCCTGGACCACTGCATCACCTCTAAAATCTTCAATGCCAACATCAAGCTCCCAAACTACCCATATCCTTCTGGTTTAATTGTTCAAGTATTTCTACTAGAAAAATCCTTCAGTCTCATCATGGCTTTCATGCCATTGATCCTCCCAATTTCTCTCTATCCATCCATATCTTCATAAATGCCTCCCTTCTAGCCTAGGTTCAATCCCTATTCCAACATTCTAATCATTTTTACAAATGCCATAAATTCCTTTACCTGTCACAGCTTCATGGGTGTGTTTTGGGCAAATATCCAAGCAGCAGTGTAACAGATAGATTAAATTAGAAAAAAATTGGAGACAAAGCTTCTGGGAGATATATATATATATATATATATTCTTTGAAAAGGTAAACAAACTGTATAAATGTTATGATTGTACTAAGTTACATATAATAATTACATTCTTCATTAAGAATCCACAATATTTGATTTGACCAAATAGTTCAGCATTGGGTTTGTCATGCTCAAATTATCATAGTTTTGAAATGGATGTCCCAGGTTGTCACAGAGTATATTTATGCCCACAAGCTGTAAAACATTTATAGTTTGTGGTTTGGGGGCTAATCAAGCCTGGAAGCATCTTTCCACAGTAATTAGGAAAAGCCTCCCCTATTCAGCTGGCTATTTTTAAACACAGGCAACCTCTTTCTCCTTCCAAATCAGATTGCTTTAAGCTTGGAGAACAGGACCCATGTGAGCCAGCTCTGAAGCCTCCAGGCCCGGCTCCTTCAAAGTATCTGGACCGAAATGGGGCCTGGAAAAAGTGATGGAAGTAGCTATGCATTTTGAAAACTTCAAAATAGTCATACAGATTTTATAGGTGCATTTAAAAACCAAAGAAAACGAATTCCACCCAAAGTACCTGGAAAAAGAAAGAGGTCAAGAACAGCTCGACCCTAAATAGTTAACAATATTGTAATAACTGTGTATGGTGCCAGGTGGGTACTTGAATTATTGGAGGGAACACTTTGTAGCCTCTACATCCTGGGAGCGGGGTAGCTAGGACAGTCTGTATGTCTATCTGCTGTGCTGGACACTTGAAACTAATATAAAATAGTGCTAAATGCAAACTGTAATCAAAACAGAAAACTGATCTTTAAATTTATTTTTTAAATTACAGTTGCCATACAATATAACATTAGTTTCAGTTGTACAACATAGCGATTAGATATTTATATGCCTTACGAAGTGATCACACGTAAGTCTAGTACCTACCTGACACCATACATAGTTACCACAATATCACTAACTATATTTCCTATGCTGTACGTTACAGTCCCGTGACTTATTTTATAACCAGTAGCTTGTACTTGTTTCCTTCCTTTTCATTGCACTGTCTTTCCAAGATAAACCATTCTGGCCCTAAAACTACCCAGGGATTAATACAATGCTTTGCATCTCTCTCTTCCTGATGGCTCACATACCTACTACATGGGCAGGCCTAGGCTTTGGAGTGAGAACGCCCTGCCTCCACTGTTTCCTAACCGGGTGATCCTGGGCAAGTCACTTTCTGGTCCTCATTTTCTCACCTATAAAATGATGATAATGGTAGTGTCTCCCTTGCAGAATAGAAGCAAGTACTCAATGAGATAATATGTAAAAAAGCAACCTACAGAACGGATATTGCTATGTATCAGTGAGTTATTTTTCTGAATAGGTGATTCCACTCAAGGTTACAAAATGTCCCTAATAAACATATAAAATG